TTTTCTTTCGCTCGAGCGAGCTTTTGGGTTGTTGGCTCGAGCAAGGCTTCCTTGGCTCGAGCGTAGCTTCTCTGTGTCTGGTCGCTCGAGCGACCAAGTCTTCGCTCGAGCGAGCCTGTCCAGTTTATATACGCAGCAGCGGGTTTTGATCAGCCTTTTTCATCTTCTTTTTGGTTCCAAACCCTAGGTCCGACTTCTCTCTCTCCCTACTCACCTTCTTTCTTAGGTTTGATCTATTTAGAGTGTGTTTCTACCCTAGTTGCTTTATTAAAAAGATAGAGGGAGTCGAGGGCTTTCATTTAATCTGAACATTTGGCGATTTGGAGCACATTGGTATTCGGGCACTCATCTCTGTCTTCACCATTTGGGTTGTTTTCTTCGAGGTAGGGATTTCCTACTCCATTTTATAAGTTGTGTTCTAAGTTTTGGTATTTTGATATGTTGGGGTTACTTTGATAATTTTGGGAAAAACCCTAGTTGTAATAATTAATTAATTTGTATAATTAATTAAAAGGAATTGGGGAAATATGGTTAAGTTCATGGAATTGAGGAATTCATTGATTAAATGGCGTAGTTGGATAATTTGAATCAATTGTCTATTGAATTGTTGACATAATTATTTTCAGTTTAGAAATAACTGCTTTGGGCTATCGGTGGAGGATAGCTGTGATTGTTGTAGACACTGCATGTGGATTAGGGATAACTGAAACTAATCACATTGAATGTGAGTTCATTAATTTTGACTGTTGAATTAATACAGCATTATGTGTATTGATTGTGTGATGTATACGTTATATGTTTACATACTTTGTTTGTGTGGGAGGAGATAGGGGATGTACTCCACGGTTTAGGGGAAGATAGGGGATGGACCTCTAAACGGATTTTGTTTGGGAGGAGATAGGGGATGGACTCCATTAGCATCACTTTTATGTGTGCTTATTTATATTGAAGTGTTTTTTTGATACAGCACTAAAATGTGTATCAAATTGGAAGTATGAAGTGTTTTGGTTTGAGCCTGAGTCTCATTTGTTTGTTGATATTGGAAGAATGTGAATTTTGATATGTATAGTACACTGTTGGAAGTTTGGCCAGGTTCTGAGCCATATTGAATTAATATATTGGAAAGTAAAACGTGTCTTAGACATTAATGTCATGAAACTGTATAAAGATATAGCTGATTATCTTGGTTAACCAATTATTGAATGCTATTGCTTTATTCAATGCTTATATTTGGTTTAGTATATTTCTACTGGGCTGTGGCTCACCCTTTATGGGAACATCATTTTCAGTTCAGGTCAACGTAATCAATCGACGAAACATGGCTCCGAGTCTCACATCTAACTAAGAATCCCTTTCGCTTCACCCTTTCCATTCAATATATTAGAAGATAGTAGTAGTGAAGAATAGATTTAGGCGAGTGATTAGATATTAGGGGTTAGGGAGTTAGATAGGAGAATGATAGAAAACTGTGTTAGGAGAGAGAAGGACAAAGGCTTAGGATAATCATTAACTAGGATAACAAAAGGAAGGTGGAAAGGAAAAAGAAGAAAGGATAAGAAGAAAGAGACAAAGGAAAGAAGGGAAAGGGGAGAATGTGAAAGCAAAAGATTAGAGAAAAGGTGATAATTAATGATTATCTATACAATAACCCAATGCATAAGTCAACGTCTCCATTGGGGAAACCTATAAAGCAATAGCATTCCATGAGATAATTGGAGGTTTAGTGAACCTTTGAGATACATCAGTGTTATAATCTTGATTTTTAGTTACAGTTTGACATAGGAACCAGAATTTAATGATGCTTACAATGACACAGTTCTTATTGATCTTTCCTAAATATGTTCTTTATATATTATAATTTTCAATTTATGGGGCTCACATTACTGATGAAAAACCTAGTGGTCACAGACTCTTAAGGCTTTTTTTGTTATTGTCCAGATAGTAGATGATTCCATATTACATATTCATATTTCTACATTTCTTTCTGTAATTTATATCAACACCAACAAATGGGATGCTTCTGAGGCGGCTAAACCTCAAGAGACGCTTACAAATACTGTATGTGCCTCACATTTAGCATACTGTATGTTGGTTAAGTTGTCTAGTCTCCGAAACAAATGTTACAATAGCTCAACATTTGCTAATTTATTTTATAATAAGCCACACCATAGATAAATACTACTTGATGGAATGAAGTTATTAATAAATTATTTTCTTTATAAACTATGCAAAGGTCATAGCTTAGAATGTACAGTCCAATATTCCTACTAATTCTACCGTTCGCGCAAAACAAGTTATATTTGTACGGTTTAGGAGGTCCCGTTACAACTGTCCAGTGTGCTCACGCTAAATTCTTCCTCCGGCCCTATAAAACCGTTCGGCCTAGGTTCAGGCAGCTCCACGTCCCCGGTATTCTTTCCTCCCACACACCACACAACAAAGTATGTTAACATAATATACATGTCAGCTCGGCTAATACATCACCATCACCAATACAGATTTCAATTGTCTCTATTCTATGAGTGTATGGCTGTTATTTATGGTTCAATCTGAGTTCTTAGAAACTATTATTGATCAACGCTCATGTGGGGATTGTGTTTCAGTAGTTTGCTTTAGCCCATACCTAAGTGCCATCATGCCATGTCTACAACATATCACGACTATCGCTCCAACCGATTAGCCCAAAAACAGTTATTTTTCTAGACTTTGTGGGACAGCCTAACTCCAGGAACTTCATAACGCCAACAATTACAATGTAAGAGGGGCGACTTGGTATTTAAAACACTCACTCCAGACTACACCAAGTTAATCAAGTGAATTTCCCAATTTCATGAATTTAACCCAATTCGACATGCCACCCCTTAAATGCCAATTATACAAATTTAAAGCCCATATGCATTCTTATCAATACTTCATCGGAATTAAGGGCGCTCTCTCTCTGCCCCAAAATTATCAATTGAGTAACCCAACATATCAAAAATACCAAAATTAGAAACACAAACGTATAAAATGGAGTAGGGAAATCCCTACCTCGAAGAAACAACCGCGAAACTGATGTGTTCGAACTGAGAACTGACAGCCTGACCGAAGATTGGAGTGCGTTTGGCTGAATACCGCAATGTGCTCCAAATCGCATATGTTCAGACTATTAAATGGATACACATCCTCGACTCCCTCTATTCTTTTTAAATAAAGCAACGAGGGGTTAGCAAACACATCCCTAAATTAGAGTCAAAACCTAAGGGATACAGAAGGAGAGTGTGGAGTAGTGAGGACGAGTAAGAGGACAGTGTCGGGCCCTAGGGTTTGGAACCAAAAAGAGATGAAAAGGTCTGGGGTGAGTTCTCACATAAAATCTCTCCTCTCGGTAGCGCTTGCGGACTATTATTAAAGATCCTTGAGCGGCTCAGCTCGAGCGAAGACATCGTGTGGTCCCGCCTCGAGTCAAAAACGCGCACGGTAACGGCACCAGACACCAAGAGAAGGCTAACGCTGCGAGCCAAGGAAGCCCCCATGTGAAGTCTCGGCCCTCGAGCCAAACAACC